ATTTTGTATATCAAACTAATTTATATATTGGTAAAATTTTTAAAGAATCAAATATATTTAAAACTACTACATTAGAATTGATGAAGTATCCTATACAATAGCAAAAAAATTAGCTAGAATAACTAAAGAAGATATTTACAAACTTTTAGTTATAGAAGAAATACAATATATAATGAGAGAAATGAGTATTGAAAAAGCAAAACTATGTTGTAAACTTATCAAAAAAGAATACATCTAAAAATTATAACAAAAGATAGATATAAGATGAGTAGAACAGAGTTGTTATTTGAGTTAGTCTAGTTCACTGGAATATATGTTCTATTCTAGTTCAGTCTATTAGACAGTTAGTAGCTAGACTTAGATAATATAGTCTAATTGTAGTCTAATAAATATTAAATAATTAAAAGCTATAATAAATATTTACTACTTTTGATTTACTATTATTTTTTATTTTTATAATATATTATATATTTATTTAACTATAATATTAACTGATTCTTATAGTATATTTTAATATAAAATTATACTATCAAATATAGCCAAATATAGCAATTGTTATAATAAGTTATTTAAGCTAGAAGCAAATTTTATTATTCAAAATTTCAGATATCAAACCGTGAGTATATATAGTGTAGCAGAATTATCATAATAAGATTATAGAAAATAGTATAATTAGAGATTAATTAAAAAATCAAATATATATGATTGAATATGACATAATTAAAAATAGTCAAATTGAATATATAAGTAAAAAGTATAAATAAAAAAATAATAAGTGCTTTGCTTACAAAATATTCTATTTTTGAATTGAAATACTTGTCCTAATTGATTTTTTTATAGATAACAGAATATAGAATGTTTAATATTTGAATTAGAAACATCTATAAAAATAGATAGTCAATAGATTGAAAAGGTAGCTAAGTAGAGACTACATTTATATTATCTGGCTAAGAGTAATGTTGTAACTTGGAATAATATGTAATCAACTAATTTTTATAAGATGGCTTCAAATATAGCTATAAATTAACTACTAATATTAACATTGAACAAGTTTAGTACAAGTTAGTTAAATATAAGTGAAATTAATTCTTATAATCAAGAATAATTAATTTCTGAATAAAGAACAAGGAAAGTCACAACCTAATCCTTTTCTTCAATTAAAAAAAAAAAAACTTAATATTTTCATAATAATTACTGTATTCTACTTTATATTAATAGCTAGTATACTTAATGCAAGTAAGAAACGATCAGCTAATACTATATAATACAAACTAACTGCTTATAATAATTTTGGTATAATCTTAATTATAATATGCATGTATACTTTTTGGTTATTGATTGAAAGTTAAAAAGAGATAGCTTAACATCAATTACTATTTTTATTCAATTATTTTAATTACTAGCTAATTATATTAATTACATTAAGAGATTTACTTAAGAATAATTTAAATTACTTGTATCTAATAGGATAAGTAGATATAAATATTAATAACAATAAATACATTAAAATTTAAAAGCTAGTTTTATAATTAAAGTACTAAAAAATATTTACATATAAAAATTTGTAAAGAATCTTTATAATTATCAAACTTAATTATAATTAAAATAAATATAATTAATATTTAAACAATACATAGTAATAATTAAACAGTTATATACTTCATAATTTTTAATCCCTGTATTAAAAAAATGTCTTGTTGTTATTAATTAACTTCTTATATTGAAGTACTTGATCAAAAGGCAAATAATTTAACAAATATGCAATATGTTTAGCTTGTCTTGAAATAAAAGATCATTCTTATACTCTTAAAAAGCAATTTACTAATACTAAAAAATGTTGTAAAGATCATTTTAAAAAATATAAATTTTTTCAACAAAAATATGGAATGAATGAAGCACAAACTATTATAGATGATACAAATAGTAAAGCAACTATGCAAAAGTATCAAAGAAAAAGATTCCATACATATAAAGATGATAATAATAGATTATCAAGTTATGCATCAAGTTCAGTATCTATTGTATCTAAATTCTCAACAAATAATAGACTATTAGATAATTTTGCTTATCGTCAATTTACTAGAAGTAATCTTAAAATTTAATTATCTGTTATTAAAAGCAACAATTTCAAATAGATAGAGTTTTCTTTAGATTCAAAATCTAGATACTATTGCATTATTTGAATTTATTAATCCTTCATATAAGCTTCCTGAATGATAAAAATTATATAGTAAAATTTTAAGTTGTGTTTTAAATCAAATAGTTGTGAATATCAAAAATAAGGCCTAAAAAGATTTTTATAGTGTTACTCTTACTATAGATAGTTGAACAAATATAATTAATCAATCAATTATAGAAAATGTTTTACTTACAAGTTTTGATGAAGTTTTGGTTTAGCAAGCAATTGACATTAGTAGTAAAAGAGCATGTACAGAAGAAGTAAAAAATAAAATTAATGAAATTACAAAAAGTATAATAAATAAAGAAATAAAAGTAGTAGCAATTGTAACTAATAGTCATTCATCATATACTGTAGCAAGAAAACAGCTTCAAGTTGAAAACTCACAAATTACATATTTACTATATTTTGTATATCAAACTAATTTATATATTGGTAAAATTTTTAAAGAATCAAATATATTTAAAACTACTACATTAGAAGCTACATATATTGCAGTATATCTTAAAAGTAAACAACATGTTTATTTTATTGAAAAACTTTGTAATATTTAAATGCAAACATATAATAAACTACAAACTTTAATTATTCTTGGTAATATATGTTGAAATAGTTATTATTACTATTTTGGAAATTTTTTGTGAACTAAAGAAACTTTAAAGGTAATTTTTATTTACTATATATTTTTATTATAATTTTAAGCATTTATTTAATTATTATTTAAGACACTTATAGCACAATATAAACCTCAAACTAATGAAAAAATTGAAATTAAAAATGACTTGGTATTATCTAATTATATTTGTGATCCAATTAATAATTCTGAATTTTGGTAAAATATAATAGCTATTAAGTAAATTCTTTTACTATATTGTACTTGTTTAAATATTTTACAAAGAGATAAAGTATGTCTTTATAATATACTTTATTTTTTTAGTTATTTTTATCAATTCTTATCTAAACTTTCAGATTTACAATTTAGTACACAATTATATAAATATTTAAAAAAGCAATAGCAACAATAGGAACAACCAATAATTATTTTATCTTGGGTTTTTCATTCTAAATATCAGTTTGATAAATTTAATGATTATTTACTATAATTAAATTAAGTTGATTTAAGTGAATATTTACAATACTATTATATTACTTAGACTAGAGTTAAACCAAAAAATATTTTATGAGAATTTGATAACTATTAAACTAAAAAATTTCTATTTAATAATAAATTATTTGAACAGTTTGAACAAGATGTATTTGGCTATTGGAATTGGTGCTTAGAAAGTATAAAAGAATTAGAATTTGTAGCAAGTCAAATAATAAGTATTTGTATAAATGCTGCATTAGTTGAAAGGTTATAGTCTTCAATAGGTTATTTATATTCTGCTTTAAGAAACTGATTAAAAGTAAGAAATAATCTTTAAAAAATCTATGTATAAATAAATAAAAATTAAAATTTAGTTTAATTTATTTTTAGCATACTAAGCTATTAGTAATAGCTCAAATAAAAGATGTAATAAATCAAGCATATCGAAATTATAAACTTGAACAAATTAAACAATTATATTATTTAAATACAACTACTACATTATATAAAGCTAATGAAAATATAACTCAAGAACTAGAGAATTGACAAATATTATTGAACAAGAACAAGAAACTAATAGTAAAAATAAATTTCAATATTCTGCAGATCTAACTAAAAATAATTTAGAAAAAGTATTAAGTTTATAGAAATCTATGCTTGAAAATAAAAAATTATATGATTGAAATAAAAAGATAACTAATTCATTACTTAATGCTGAATTATTATCTGATATTCTTTTAGATCATAAACATCCTCAAAGAGATAAATATGCAAAATAGATTCTTGGTGAGCTATATGTTAACAAATTAGATCTACTTTCATATATTAATGAATTGTAAATTTTTATCTTTATTGTTATTTGATAATTTTTGAATCTAAATTATAAGAAAGATTTAGTATTATAAAATTTTTTTTATTTTTTATTTTTATTTTAGTTTATTTTTATTTTATTTTATTATTATTTATTTGTTTTTTAATCATAAAAAGATACTTATAAAAAATTAAATATTATAAGAGAAATTATCAGACAATAACAATAATTAAAAATATTAAGTTTATTATAAATATAGTCTACTTAATACTAAATCTTCAAATAATATTTAAAGATATTAATTTTTGAATTATCTAGTTATAAAATTAAGGTTCTAAGTTATCTTAAAATTTTTATATATATTAAAAATTAGACTTATTACTATCATAAAAGACCTTTATACATGTTTAAATAAGCATAACCAATGTATAAACTTATTAAAAGTAGACCAATATGGTTTATTGAACTGAACTAAACTGAACTGGACTTATTCCAATTAATTAATTAGACTTTGTACAATAACAATAAACTATGCCATTTGAACTGAACAAAGCAACTAAACTGGAATTATACAAAATCTAGTCTAGTTCAGTTTAGTAACTTATGAGAGACTAGAATAAGTTCAATGACAACTCTGGAGTAGAAGCACTCAAAATTAGAACTACTAATATTTGTAAATAACAAAACAGAGAGATAATATTAAAGTTTAGATTGCAGATAAGAGAAACACTTAGAAAAATACAATTAAAATAATAACAAAGAGAAAAGAAATATTTAGAAAAAAACAAGAAAGAAAAGTAAAGAGGATCATTAGAGCTATTAAAGGAAAAGATATAGAAAAGAAAAAAATGAAACCCTATTATACCAAACCCTCTGAATAGAAACAAACAAACAACATTTATTTCTACAAACAAAATATATAAGCTAATATTACACAACCAAGTTCACTTTTAATATATAATCATTCAAACTCAAATAAAATTACTTGTATATATAGCTATTCTGAAAAATAATATAGAA